CTGTAGCGGGGAAAAAAAACCAAAAATAGTTTACAACTCGAGGTACATGTTTATTAAGTTACTAATGCTTACAATACAAATATGGGATTTGAGGGGCTTGCATATGAAACCCACTGGCGCAACGGGGGGGGGGGGTGTATCTACAGTTTAGCGTTATGAGAGAAAAAAAACCAAAAAATAATAGTTTAAACATTGGGGATATAAGTTATTAAGTTACTAATCCTTATAATACACCATATGGAATTCTGAGGACCTGAATATGAACGTGGGGGAGTTATATCTCAATTAATTAAAACCAACGATGGTTGTGAATTTTGAATTAATTACTTTTTTAGTTTTGTAATTGTGCCCCTTGCATTAACTTTTAAAGCATAGTATTCTTGAGGACATTGCTTGAATTTTTTTATTTCATGACACACATAGGATAGAACCAATAATATTCATCAAAAGCATTTTCTTAAATAATAGTAATAGATACAATATATCTAACAACTTAGGACAATAACATAGCAAATTATAACAGAACATTACAACTTACATTGTATGACAAATTGCTAAAATACAAAGTGACGTTAAAATAAGTTTGGTGAAGTATTTTTGGTCCAAGAGTAATTTTGAAGTGGGCTAGTTTAAAGATAAATGGGGGTAAAACTTTGGATTTATAGGCAAAATGCTTTTAGAGGTAGTAGATCTAAAACTAAGCGGGGGTAATACTTTCAAGTTTATAGCCAAAAATCTCATCTACAATTCATGATGCGGTGACATCAGTGTGGAAAGCCAAAAAAGAACAACAGTTTAAATGTTAAAATTACAATGTATAATATATACGTAATCCCTACAAAATTTGTGGCAAATTACAAAAGAATTTAGCTACTTACACCGTACACAAAGTTGACAAAATACGAAGTGCGCTTAATAATAATTCAGTGGAGTATTTTTGGTCTAAAAGTATTTTGGAAGTGGGTAGGTGTAGGTCTTTATAAGCAAATCACTTTTTATATTTTATTTTATTCATTACTATACTATTTTAGGTATTTGGTGCATATACCCTTAATCATGCATATTTCTAAAATCGTCCTCCACATCTCGTTGTTTGCAAAACTACCCCCGAATCACCGCCTTTGGAAAAGGAAAAAAACCCTAATCAACATTCCATCAATTTTTATAAGCTAATTTGTAAACGCAATGTGAAAATATCAACAAATAGTCACATATTTACTCACCATATCCAACAAAGTTGATGATGTGTTGATTTTAAGGATTTTTTTTTTTGAAAGTTGATCACTTAAGGGATAGTTTTGTAAATATGAAAAATTTAAGGACCACATATTAAAAGTCCATAATTTTATTAAAGTTGATGGGGCCTTTTTGGCCTTGGAATGACTTCAAAAGTGAGTGGACATAAAATTAAATTGGGGTAAAACTTGGGTTTATAGCTAAAATCCTGTATTTATATATACTTTTTCTTCTACCTACTAAGCTATTAGAGTTACATTGCAACTTCTAAACTGCCAAGCTACCTTGCAACTTCCAATACTATTAGTATATACAGAAACACATAAAACATACTTTGTTAAATTCGTTTATCATGTACCATGTGTTGGGTGTGGATTCCCTACGTAGAGAAAATTCATGGTTACACTGAAGGTTTGCCCGGGTTTATGTGAGTTTAAAATCAACATTGTTCAGGTGTCAAAATGGCTTGTGGAGGCATTAACGGAGAGTTTCGGAAGCAATAAATGATGTCAGGAGGCTTCCAACAACGTGCAATAGGCATGCACGGATCTGCCTTGTCTTTGCAACAGCACGTGGTAGGCGCACGTGGTTCTTGTGTATTTTGCAACAGTGTTGCGAAACTGCATGCTGTCACAATCGTTTTGGGTCTTTTTTTTGGCCAAATCAAAATTGTGTTCTGCTTGAATTAGGGTTCGTTTTTGGAAATACTATATACATGGGTATTCCACCAGATCGAAACTCTAAGATACAAGATTTACCATCAGAGAAAAGATAGAAGGAAGAAGCTTATTGAAGGTGGCTCTTCAAGGTGGTTTCGCCGATTTCGCCAGTAATTTATTTTATCTCAAGTTGTTTCTTAGTTTCTTTAGAAGGGTTCAGGTTTTTATGTCCAAGATTTTCAGGGGAAGAAAGAGCACTCGGGTTGTAAACATTTTCGGCACAGTGAAGTTTCTTTTGGTGGTCGCGATCACCTTGAGATTTTTGCCCTCAAAGGTTTTTCCTCATTAAAAAGTGCTAGTGTAGTTGTGATTTTTTTTCTTTCCGTTTTTCATAGGTTTGACCTATGTATTTAATTCTGTGCATCCTCACAAACTGTGTAATTGAGGGGGATCATATTCCGCATTATCTTCTGAATCCCTTGCCCAACACCAAGTAATAACAAACTGAACTGATCTTCCGTAGTGTGACAAAAAAATACGTTGATTATAGATCCAGTATTTTATGATGTAAAATATGATGAGTGGGGTAGAATATCAGTTTAGATATAAACACAGAATTACAACAAGAAGAACAAAACACGATAGTTCATCCCATTAAACAAGGTGTATGTATCAAAATGTATTTTGGTTATACAGATAGATTTGAACAAGAAAAGGTAAAATGTTCATTAGAAAACTGAGATGGTTTTACCAGACGTTTTTTGTTTAAAAAGGAATCCATATGTAACAACCTAATCCAGAAAAATATGCAAAATTTAAATTTCAGAAATGAAATACAAAAAGAAACTAACCCACATTGAAAGAATACAAGTGATGGATGTCAATAAGCTCCTTCCCCGCTTCCTATGTCAGTACTGACAACTCACGAGTGAGACTGTAATGTGCTCAGGCTTAAATATTGATATCAGGAAGAGGTAATCTCCAGTAATTCCATGAATTGAAGTCCTCCTATACATTTGTGTTCAGATGAACAGACAAAATTATTTGACTAGAAAATTATATTTAATTAATAAAAGGCCACAAAATGGTAATGCATTTTTAAACAAACGTGGCAATTAGCTTGTAAGTAATGATTTAACCTGTTCAGCTGTAGACATGGGCGGAAACATTCCATTCACTAATGCATGAAGTGAGGTATACGATTTTGTATCAACTCGGTGATGTACGGCAACTTCTCCCTAAACAATGTCACCAACAAAATTATGTTAGCTTTCAACATCTCTCCATAAACAATGTCACCAACAAAATTATGTTAGCTTTCAACATCACTGAGGTTTCCCTAGTCCACAGGTCCCGGAAACTCACCTTTGGATTAACAATGAAAATCTTTCCTTTAGGAACGCCAACCTTAAGGTAGCTAATCTCATCAGTATCTCTATTGCCAAAACCAGCATAAAACGGATTGCATTCTGGAGGAAATAATGCTTTTATGTCCTGAATAATTACAAAATAATAAATGAATCATGAAGATCACAATCTTTAAAAAATAATATTCATCTCAGCTCATATTTAAAGAACATAAATATGTATCCCTATGCCACAGGTAACCAAATCCACAGTAAACACTACATGGACTACATAAATGAGACATGTGCAATGTTCCATTATCTGGAAGGTATTAGCTTGTGCCGTAGGTATCAATTACAGATGAAGATTGGACATGTATTTGTGTTTCCCAGTGATAAACCAGTGGAAATTTTTCAGACCATAAAATTTGTACATGGCGTTTCCATTTAAGAACCTTTACCGAAAAATTAAAGAGAACGCACATGCAATTAGTAGAATGCACAGGTGGTGAAATTTAGAGATCGATATTGGATTTGGATTTGGACTTTTTAAGGATATAACTCCAAAAACAACAGAGATGGTTTTTCCATTAACTAGGTAGCATACCCTTCTATCATAAATTTATGCCCATATTGCATAAGTATTTACTTAATTAATATTGTCAAAATCTATTTTGTACGCATTTTTAACACTTCTGAATATTATTTTGATGTGATTTTAGTTTTAGGTATTTCTTATATACTACCAAATTTGAAATTTGGTCCGTAAAAAGAAATTATGTTAAAACAATAATGTCTATGAAAATATGTTAGCGAGCACATTTCAATACATGAGATTAAATTTATTTATGGAAAAATGAAGACCAAAAATCCAAGATCCGGACTTAGGGAATTATTTAGATGTATATAACTTTGATGCATATCATATTAATGATACTTTGGTCATATTGTGACATATGCTTGAAAATCATGATGAAAGATACAGAATTATACTCAAGAATGGTGCATGATTGACATGCTATGTCCTACCTTTTAAAGGAATTTATTCCATGAACCTGAACATTTATTAAGGCAGAAATGCTTCTTTGTATAGAAAAGTACACGTCTAGTCATACCAATTTCCATTATCCATCAGACCTCTCAGGAAATTTGATAAAAAAAATTTGAGTGAAAATGTTTTTGTGGTTCATTTTGCCTCTGTTCTATGACATACTTTAGAGATAATTCAGCTCCGGAAGGCAATCTGTCACCTTTCACCATTTTCTAAACTTCTGTTTAAGCTAAACATTTAGCAGGTTCAACACTTCACTGGTTGCATTTATGACAGGCAGTGCTGTAAACCCAGAACATGCAGCTACATGACTGTACTATATTTAGTGAAGGCCTGCATTTGACGTATATCAGTGGTTTAGAAACCAGAAAATCAACCAATCAAATTTATTAGCTGGGATGTTTTTCATTTGTTTATTACTGCTTATTAAGATTCCACCCGATCCATGCTATATGTAGTTAAATGATTTTGAGTACTGAGATTTGCTGGGGCAACATGACTTGAAGGCTGTAATAGTGGTATTAAGGCATAAAAGCATATACTGACATTTATTTCAGTGGTTTAGAAACCAGAAAATCAACCAATCAAATTTATTAGCTGGGATGTTTTTCATTTGTTTATTACTGCTTATTAAGATTCCACCCGATCCATGCTATATGTAGTTAAATGATTTTGAGTACTGAGATTTGCTGGGGCAACATGACTTGAAGGCTGTAATAGTGGTATTAAGGCATAAAAGCATATACTGACATTTATTTCTGCTTAAACATGTTACTTATGTTCACAATTTATTTCTAAATAAAGCAAGATTCCAAAACCTGTTAAGTACATAAGCAATTGTTCATAAACCACCTTAGATTTTGTAAACCAGTTTGCTCGTATTGGCATAAAAGAAACTAATTCATATTATTGTAATTACTTCATTTTAGTTGAAAAGGATGTCATATATAAAACGATACAAGTTCAAAGCATGAGATAAGCTATTCTATAGATAGTTTGGAATAGAAGCTGAAGAGCTAAGACTATTCTATGCGTGAGGTTATTAATATACAAGGTTATAGCCAGATAGATGCATGAACCTACATTTAGTATAAATGAAAAGATCAAATACAACTATTTGGGAAAAATGTACATAATCCCTGTAAGGCCCCGACCCCAGATCGGCCTAATCTAGACCTTTGATAAAGCCCTCGATAGTTTTGAACAGTTAGATTTCTCCAAACCATGAGATCGCAGCACGTGTCTTTTACATTTTTCGTCACCACGAGAATATTTGAATTTGGATTTTCTTGGTTTCATGAGCTTTTTCCAAAATTTGGGATTTTATGTTTTTGTTTACATTTTTAAAATGCTCTGGGCTTTAAGAATGAGTCTCCAGCTTTTAATGGGCTTTGGATTCAACAAAACCTTAATGGGTTTATAACCATTGGATTGAGACCCATTAGGAGAACTCCATATAAAATCACCCTTTTCTCCTTCATTTGAGATTAGAGCTGAAAGTAGAAGAGAAAAGGGGTTATCCCCATTTTTGGTGAAAAGAGAGCTTCAAACTTCTCTGATGGTAGTTTTTGATATAGCGAATGGTTTGTGATGAAGTTGTTCCAAAAAAATTTATTCATTGTTAGAAATCAAGTGTAGAAAGTGGATTTTGATTTGGTTGAGTTCGATCGAGTTATGGATCGAGAAAGTTCAAAAATTATTATTTCTCAGGACGAGCGTCGACTCTCATCTAAAGTAAGTACCAATGCTCAGAGAAAATTAGTTTCTGTGTTCAATTACAGTGATCGAGCACCGACACTCAGAGAAAAATAATTTCTATGCTCAATTACAGTGATCAAGCGCCGACGCTCAAATGCTACCAGTGCCAACGCTCAATCAAGCTTTTTGTGTTGACCAGCTTTGACCAGGATCCCACTCCAAGTTGAGGAGTCTAGGGTGGCATGGGTAAGCGTCAACTCTAGCCAACCCTAGTGTCAACGCTCAGTTCTATAAAAATAGATTATGTGTTTTCATCGTTGGATACATTCGAGGTGAATCATGAGTTCATATGTTCTTGTAGTTGTATCTTATGATATCTGAAGCATGTTTATGCTTGCTCATGCCATCTTGAAGTAGAATCATGAATAGTATGTCGATTATTATGCTTTCTGTTGTTATACGAAGTAGTTTATCATGTTGTTATTCATCTAGTGCTCTTGTTTACATTCATATTGCTTGGAACTTATGCCATGTTGATGACCTTAAACTCTACAAACATTATGCATGTTGATGCTAGGAAACTACCTCAAACTTTTGATGTGTTGATGCACTTAAAATAAGAATTGAAAATTAGAGGTATGCATGATTAGGCACTGTGATATGGAATTATACATGACGATGATGATTGTTGTGTGTTTGAATATTAGGTATCCCTTTTGACACCAAATAAAGAACAATTATGATAAAGCAATAACAAGTTTTCAGTTTGGGATACATTGGATCTAGTGAGTGAGGCTCGTAATCCTTCATCACTCAAAACTTAATCATGTATAAAAGTATGATAGTTCAGAAACCAACATGAAGTATTCGCGTGTATCAAGTGCTGATTGACTCATGTTTGATGTTTGACGAGCATGATTCGAACTTTTAAAACTCAGTCGAAAAGAGCACCCATGTGTGAATGTTCTCCATAGATTGAGTTGTTCGGGCCTAATGCATAACATATCACCATGTATAATAAAGTAAAAAAGTTCATGTGGGTTAATTATTGGGGAGGGATGTGGCCCAAAGTTGTGTTTCGAGCGCTAGAGTATTGAAGGAATTTATTTGCACAAAAACCAAGATCAAATATGAAACTAAAATTAAGTTCCCTGTGGGCATTCTAAAACAAGTTATCCAATGTGAGCTTTCCTAAATAAGAGTTAAAAGTCATGATGGTTAACACACACTACTTGATAGATCAATGTAAGGATCCAGATGCACTCGCTTATGTTATATGTTGTTGTACATAGTCGTCGTATCTTTTGTTCATCTGTCAGCTATGGTTTTAGTTTTGCTTCTATCATGTATGTTTACTAGATCATGATATATTGCAAGATATTACCATTATATTGTCTTTCTTGCGATTACAAAATCCATGCAATCATGATACCTGTTATACTGCACATACCATCTCTTTATTTCGCACGTTTGCTAGATGTCGTTTTGATCGTCCTGATCTTACACACCAGTTGCAGAGCTGAATTCTACTTCACCATGTGCAAACACTCCTACATCTAGCGAGTTTTAGGAGGTTCCATTAGAGTATCAAGAGTTCTTCCCTCTACCAGTTCATTTATCTTTTAGACCCTATGGGTTCCTTTCTACTTTGTGTCTAGCTTTATATACATATTTTCTTTTCCGCTGATATAGTGGATATTAGAGCCCAGTGGCTTCTGAACTTACGTATTTCATGATGGACATCTTTATATCAGACTTATGATACTTATATTTTAGTATTATTCGTAGGATTTTTTTATCTTTGCAGTATTGTATATTTACTTCCATTGTATTTGTTGTGATCATATGATATTTCGTGATACTGTCTAGATGATGAACTTGGTGATGTACCAACCTTATATAGAATTAAGTATATGCTTTTGCATAGAGTTTGACTCGATTGCATATATTGTCTAGCCTAGTCATGTGCTCGAGAGGTGGTACTAGGTCCCGGGCAAAACAGTCCTCTTCATCCATGCCTTCGGTAGCAGCTAATCCCCTTCAACTCATTTATTAGTGCTTGGCACCTGTGAATTTTATTTTTTAGATATATAATTGTAAATACCACATGGGTATTCTTAGGGATAACCCAATCATTGTGGAATTGGTGAATAAGAAATTCACGCTCGAACCTTGAAGGTCAGAATGTCTCTTCTTATTCTCTAACTCTTAGGAGTTATTTTTATGAGAGGAGACTCAATCTTCTGATAGGTTAATCTTTCCTCACCAAACCATCCACTGATCAAATCAAACGACAGTGGATCCACCAACGTTCCCATCTGCCAGTCATTGGCGTTTCTCAGACTCAACGTGCTAGGTCCTAAACGCCTAACATTAAAGTCTCCCTTTGAATGGTAATATGGGTTGGCACTTTCTTTGCTACCCGTATTCCACTCTCTTCGCTTTCTGGTCAAACCTATAAAAGTTAGGGCCAAAGCCAAAATCCCCTCTCGATTCCTCCAATGAACGAGAAGTCCACTTTCAAATCGAGTGATCAAACCTTCCGACAGTTAGGATCATCTCAAACTCCTGCTGGGTCAAACCTTCGTACAGTTAGGGCCACAGTCAAAATCTCCTCTCCCCCCCCCCCCCCCCCCCCAACAGAAAAAAAAATTTAGTCGGCCTAAGCATTATTGAGGGGGGCTCTTTGCAATTTATGCTAATTCTATTATAGAAATGTCAGTCAACTTAAATTCATGCATCATGCACTGCCTATCTATTTTCAAAACTTTAGATCCATGACGTACATCTCAGTGTTACATTGTGCCCATGCATTTTCATACTTCTTAATGCCAAACAATTAAATCATAGGGAACATATATGAGAAATGATGGACTTTGAATCGAAAAGCATTTGTAGATTGTTTATGATGAATGCCAAATGGATAAACATTGATAAAATTAACACAAAAAAAAACAATTAAAAGGTAAAAAATGTTATATGACCCAGACAAAAGTATATAATACAAAATATGAATTGTCTGTCGCAATTGGTAGCTAAAGGTCTCTACTGGTAGCTACGATAGGATTATTTTCCTAATAATTTAAATAGATAACATATGGAACATATATTAGAAAATAAAAATACATCATAGGGTTTCTTTTATTTTTATTTTTTTTGCAAGTTTCAAAATTCATGATGATCATTTTCAATATTTATTTGGAAATTGGAGTCATAAATTTCTACAAAATGCATTAATAGAAGTATCAAACTCACCTCCAAACATGAGATCTTGAATTCATGAGGAGCTCTTCTGATAACTACAACCAATGAAGTTAATAAACCATTTTAAGGAAGTGCTAATTCATAGTGACAGTAAGTAAAAACAAAAATGGACATTGTTCAAAGAGAGAAGGAATAGAGTTCCAGAAAAAAGCATTATGCTTTTGCTAGTTAACATTTAAGTTCAGATACTAAATGAAAAGCAACTCACAATAAATTTCATTTTACCTTCAAGAACAATCTGCAGTTCAAATAGTTTAATAATATATATTCCTACACCTAATGAAATACAAATGATAACCTTTAAGAACAATCAACGAATCTGCTAGATGCAATGTATAGAACAAATCTACTTGTTAACTCGATCAGTAATTCCACATATGAAAACACAAAAAAATTACAAGATACTAAGTTATGAACACTATCATTTTTCAAGCAGTAGATGTAGAATAGGTTTTTAACTTGTACAAATCCCGCTCTACTAGCATATATAGGCTTGAATATAGAATGTGTGATGTGGCATGGAAAGATGGAAATTTTCTCAGGAAAGTGATTTGGATAAAATAAAATAAAATAACAAATGTAGACCTCACATCTAGACACTTAACATGCCACACAACTCATGCATAGCCAGCTACAATTCACATGCAAAATTTATCACAAACATTCTTCTCTCCTCCTCACCTAAAATGATGAAGTACAATCACTTTTATAGGAACAACAAAATACTAATTCTCAAAAAAGATAACATCAAATGACAAACCTAACAAAGTAACAAATTCAACCTTAAATAAACAACAAATGTAATCCAAACTAAAGATCTTAATTAAAAGATAAATTAAATCCTTAAAAAATTCTAACTATAATCTAATCTTCTAGTTCCATGAATCTAATATTCTCGTCTTGCATCAAAACAATCTGCTTGAAAAAAACTCGACCTTGATTTTGAGGATGGATGACAAATCTGTTTGAACTTGAAGTCCAAAAGAAGTATTTACAACTCAATTGTGGAATGTTAGTTCTTTATTGCAATTGGTAATTTGAAATCATGGATCAACTTGTTCTGCTACCAATTAATATAAAACGAAAGGATAAAAATCTGTTGAGGATGATTACTTGGATAAAATGAAATAACAAAATATTAAAATAGTACTTCTCAATTAAAAAAAAGATACAAATGTTAGGCTTCCCAGCATGGCACTTCACATGCCTAAAAACTTTCACATGCATAATTTCTCACAAAAATTCTTCTCTCCTCTCTAAAATAAGAAGAACAATCCCTTTTACATGAACAAAACAAATCCTAATCCTAACAAACAGAGAACATCAAATAACAAATAAAACGAAACAACAAATTCCATCCTAGCTAAACAAACAATTCAATATTAACTAAATATCTCAAATAAAAGAAAAAACAAACACATAAAAACGAAATTGTAACAAAAATCTAATCTTCTAGTTGCATGAATCTAATATTTTCATCCTGCATTAATGTGTTCTACATCAATGAACATAATATTGAAGTTTTAGACAAATGTTTGGAACAAAAAAAACCTTATTTATTGCACCAATTAGAATCAAACATTTAAAATAATCCACTTAAGTCCATTCAGTGATATTACAAGTGAGTCAATAAAGTAATTCTTCCAGATTTCCATGAATCAAATTTGCACCCCTTATCAAACAAAAAAGCAATTCGATTTATCCAATGTATTATGTTGATTCTAGAAATAGTCTTAGGTTTGGGTTACGAAAAAAACTATGACATAGATTAAATTAAGTAAATTAACCACTGCTTAACTCAAGGTTGTAAAAGATGCTTGGTGAATCGAGACAATAGACATAGTTCCTAAAGGTTGCTGTTAAAGAGTCGGCTAAATGGAGCTTAACTATTTTCTATCTTTTTATTTGGTTTAATAGCACTTATATATCTTATAGTTACACTACTATAGCATTTATATGCCCTAAGTTACAAAATGTGGCAATTATATACCCGAACTTGTAAACATTTGAACGTTGCTACCTTCTGTTACCCAGCCGTAAGAATATTCTTCTGTAATAATCACATGTCAAATTTAAATGACTATTACCCTCATTGATTGAAGTATTTACATATTTATCTACCCATTTCTCATTATTAAATAGTACTCATTCTCCTTTTCTTTAATTCACAATAACTCATCTTCTTCCCCGATTTTTACATGGGTTTTTGTCTTTTAACCCAAAGTTTTACCACCACTTAATTAAAACCCAGCCATTTCCATAAATACCTATACACCAAAAGTACCCCTTATGACTTATTTATAAACCCAATTGGTAATATACTCTCAAACTCTATATTGTATTTTCCAAAAATTCTAAAATCCAAAATTGCCTTTCTTCCCCAAATAAATCCATTGGTTCTCTTTTCTCTCTTCCTTGGTTTCACAAAACACTAAACTCAAAGAGCCCATTCCCAAATTCTAGGTGAACTTAATCACTAAAATTCACCAAAGCTAACCAAACTATAGCACTTTATACGAAAACATAGCTTTTAGGAGCAAAGTATAACACCTTATAGAGAAGTATAGCTCTTTATGACTAAAGTGTATCTCTTTATTATTATAATATAGCTCTTTGTTGATTTTAGGACTATAGGAAGGAAATTAATAGTCTGTAGTATGTTGTCAAGAAATTGTTTGAACAAACAGAGTAAGATTTAATATCCATTGGACTAATTAACATAAAAATATGAAAGCTTAATAGCTATTAAGATTCAATATCCATTGGATTGACTAACATAAAAATATGAAAGCTTAATAGTTATTAATTTTTTACTAAGCAAAGTATAACACTTTATTCAAAAACATAGCTTCTTGAGAGAAAAGTATAGCACTAATACAGAAGTATAACTCTCTATGACTAAAGTGTATATCTTTATTGGTATAATATAGCTTTTTAGTGGTTCTGGAGCTATAGAAAAGAAATATTTAATGATTACAAATAGAAATCACATTAAAACAAAATTAATGTCTTTTATGAAAAGAAATATTAATGGAAGAAAGAGATTTTTAAGGAAAAGATGTGATTTTAATGAGGGAAGTATACTAAATTAGGATTTGGGCAGTAAAGGAAGAAGCGCGCAAAAATAAACTTCTCTCGCTATCACCATTCATGCATGGAGAGCATGTTGTTGTTTAGAAGAAGAGAGAAAAGGACTATTTTGGATTTTTTTGTATGGATATATAATATAAAGTATGAGAGTATGGTATAGATTGAATTTAAAAATAAGTCATAAGAGATACTTTGGGCGTATGTTTGTTTATGAAAGTGAGCGAGTTTTTAATAAGTGAAGGTAAAACTTTGGATTAAAAGACAAAAACCCCTTCTTTTAATAGAAGGACAAATCCTTCCCTCCTCAAGCTCAAGTTGTGATTAAGAAGCTATTTTATGAGAAACATGTTCATAAAGAAGTGAAGAGTGAAGTTGTGAATAATTTAAGAAATATGGAGGAGAAATTAAGAGAAAAGAAGTTGAATTTGACGACTAAACCGAAGAAGCTAGTTGAGAATGAAGATATTCTAAGAGATAGAGAAAGGAATTTGAAGAAACAAGATGTTTATTTGAGAGAGAAAGAGGATATATGAGGTTTAAATGGAGAAGCATTCTCGTCCATTGGGTGATTTTTAACACCGTTAATCAAATTCAAAAGCCGACCCAGTTAGGGTATATAATTGTTATGCTTTGTAACTTAGGGTATATACTTTGTAACTTAGGGTATATAAATGCTAAAGTAGTATAAGTATTGGTTATATAAGTGCTATTCAGCCTTTTTATTTTGAAAATCATAATGAATAAATCGAAGAGGACTAGAAACGAAGGTAGTAGAAAGAAGTAGAAAAAATAACCATAGGGAACAAAGGATATAGAAAGATGAGAAGAGGAAGAAGAGAGTAGGAGGCATAAAAAAGGATAAATCAATGGCTAAGCTTTTGGATCACTAGTATGTTCGTCGATTATGTGTCGAGACCTTCCCTATTTAAGATTCATGTAAAAATATCTTGGAGAGGAGCATGAGCAACCAAGTTCAGTCCTGAAACTTCAACATTAGCGTTTAGAATGTTCTTATTTTCCAAGTTACAAATCCCATTTCCTTATACCTCGTGTTAGTATTACAGTATAAATGATTTTCACTTCATTTTTCCTTATTTTCACGTAGAAAATGATATCATCCTTGTTAACGGATAGGACTAGTATGTTGAGGTTGAAACTTTTACGAAATTTTCTACCAAAGTACATGATTGGTTATGTCGAGTCATTAGGTTATCTCATGTTGTTCTGGCTACCAAGGCAAACAGTTTTGTTAATTTATCCATGTGTTATCTCAACTTCCTTATTTTGCAGGTAATTCACTAGTAAGTGAAAAATATCACCGTGTAAGCGTTACCATTATCTGAAACTGAATGCCAAACATAGTTATTGAGTTTGCTCTTAATAAAGAATTATCGCTCAAACAATATCCAACTTTAGTAATAGAAAATTATTCTTTACAGATTGTACACCCTGAAGCTCATATACTTGAGTACAGGTAAGGTATACGACAATATAGGGATAGTCAAATACACTTTTTGATTTGCTTATTTTGTTCGTCTGTTTAGAGAGATTTAATTACAAAGTATTTAGGCATACAAAATTAGGTTCGGATTCTACTACTGATTAAGAAGGCGGCAAAACTTGACTACAACATAATTAGGATGACAGAGGTTATTGAATAGCGAAAACAGAAAAGGAGTAGACAATTTAGCATGAAACTAATCAGGTCCCCCTTAAAAAGGGGCCTGATTAGGCGTTTCATAGCTATTTCATTATGTTTGACACTTGCTAAGACTCTGAGAACCATTCTCGTTAGAATTCATAAGCTTCCCCTTAATGAGTTTGGGGTCTGTCTGAGTTTAAAATCCTGCAAGAAGATCGGAGAACTATCAATATCTTCTTTACGCTGGACATGTTGGATTTTAACCTCCGACCCCAAATGAATATGCTATCCCAGATGTACACG